ACACTGAGGGTAAAAAACAAAAAACAATTCACCTCCATATCAGAGTGTAGCTATCTCTACTTCTTTACCCAACGCTCTCCCCTTCACGTTTTAGCTCAAGTTTTTTGGGAGAATTCCTGTCTGTTATCTGTGTGTCTAGTGAGTGAAATCTGGCTGTACAGTGCAAACTGTTGGACCAACCTATTGTATCTAAGATTTTTCTGTTGTCATGTGTTGGGGCTCTAATAACTTAAATGACAATGTTAAAATCTTGCCTTGTGAACCAAGCATAAAAAAAACGAAGATAAAACCACTTTGTTCGTCAAACTGTGCTGGTAAAAATGTAAACAAACATGTTCCAGATGTACGGAGTGCCCAGAGTAAGCCTGTGTAAGGTTTTGAGTGGCCGAGGCATTACTACAAAATTAAACAAGAGGCTTAATGTGGCAGCAGACCAGCATTCCAGGGATTATGCATCATGATACTATGGGTGGAAATGTGGCTTGTTGACAAAAAGCACACATGCCCAGTTAGGTAATTTTACCACTGCAGAAAGACAGGATTCAATCAAGTGTCTTTGTGCATGTCGTTCAGATTGACAACTGACATAACCCAGGCATGCCCAAAGTCGTTTGGGCTGCTGTCCTGCAGGTTTTAGAGGTTTCTCTGCTAAGCACAGCTGATTCTGATGATTGCAGTTCAGTCTATTAATCAGCTAAAAATCAGCTGTGTTGGAGCAGAGAAAGCTGTAACTTTGGGCATGTTTGACATAAACAAGCCCTATCATTGAGGACACAGTGTCACTCAGATCAAAATATTTTGATTACTTTTGTTACACAAAATTTTGACGAGCTCTTAATTCTCAAAACTTAATGTACATATTTCAAGATGCTTAAAAACTGAGGTTGAAACATGACTTTTACAGTAGATCTACCTCAAGGCCAATGTTGCAGCTTAAAATTAAAATGAGCATTTCTCTTAAGTGTTAAGTATTTCAACTGTCACACTCCACACATTACTTACTTTACCTCCTTTTCTACATCTCTCAGCATAGGCAGGTTGGAGGGCAGGAGGACTTATAGCTGGACGGGGAGGATGTTGGTCATACCAGGACAAAGTTACTTCAGATTTTTAAGCACTCATAATATTTCCATTTGAACTTTTGAGTTGGATAGAAATAATGTTAAGATGTATTAAAATATATTATTTTTACTCAACTATCATTAGTTGACAAATCTGCTGTTAAATCTCAAACTAAATCCTGAAGGTCTGTGCATGAATGAGGGAAGGTCTCTGATCTTTTCCATCACTCTAAAATTCTCAAGGTTTCTTGTTCCTCTCTGTTACTTTCTGCTCCTTCCACAAAGTTTCTACAGGATATAGTTGTTGGAACTGAGATGCCACAGGTAAATGTATTTCTGTGGGTTTGGCCTCTTGTTTTAGGTCATTATCTGAGATGCAAATTCAGTTTTCTGTGGCAGTTCACTAGATCTGCAACAGCGATAAATGAGACACTACTGGCGTGAGTCTTTTGCAACACAGTTTTCAGACGGTTGACGATGAAAAAACTAACACCTGTCTTACTTGAATAGCCTTTTTACTTGTTTTTCCTGTTTTGATGAAGAGCAAAGAAAAAAGCAAGTTTATACCCAGGCGTTGCTGTGGACACTTGGATATCCATCCATCTATTCATTTTCTATTGCTTAGCCCTTGTCATGGTGGGGCTGGTGCCTATGTCCAACAGTCTATGGGCAGGAGGCAGGGTACACCCTGGACAGGTCGCCAGTCTGTCGCAGGACACTCATATAAATGTAGTAAAGTTGGAGGTTTGCTTGTTTCAATGTAATCATACATATTTCAATATAGAGCTTTAAAGAAATCTCAATTACCAAGCCAGTAATGTCGGGCTGGAAGGGCTCTATTTAAAGTCGCCTGATGGAACTGAGACACAAAAACACAAATTTTAAAGCAAACCAGGCAAACGTTTCTTTTTCTTCATAATTTATCCCAGAAATCAACACATCCTGGTGAACAAAAGAAAAACAAATTATTTCTGAAGGAATAAGAATAACTATTGAATAAGAATAGCTATTTGAAAATCTGTGCCTCTTTATGCAAACCTCTTCACAGCTTCTTAAAAACATCTACTTACAAACATAACAATACAAAAGCTCATTTATAGATGTGACACATCCGTAATACCTGACTATGCAAAATTCTCCCCATTATGTCTCATAGCTTTATTCATAATTCATAACATGTCTAATTTAAAAGCATTACTTAACCCTGCATGTTTACGAGCAACAATAGATTCTCTCTCCAATCTTGCAACCAAGCTTTTCCATTAATGCCTAAGTTACTCTCACTAACTTCTAAACTTTTCCTGCCAAGAGTCATAAAACTCGTCACGTATTCTGTAACCCAGCACTGAACCCCCTTGCTAGATTCTTCATTATAACCCTCTTTCACTCACTGGGTTCTGCAGCTGCCTGCTGCCGCTAAAGCCTAAATCAATACATGGACGCGACTGTTGATGATTCCTGAAGCAGGCGAGATTACCGATCTAGGGAAAATATTCCATGAAAAGTGTTATTTTAAGTTTTGCTGTGTGCCAGCTGTGATTCCAAAGAAAATTTGTGTCTCACAATGTAGTTCAATATCATATGGAATAAACTATTCTAAAATGCCTGCTTTTATCAGTGTGACATAGAATCACAAAAACGTTACTTATACAGATTTTAATCATTCTTTTTTCGACTGCTCTCATCATCTTTTTACTTCAGGGTCCTGTGAGGCATTGTGATTTCTTCTTATGTAACAGGAGAATAAAGGAGAGCTTAGGTAGGAACAGTTACAGACAAGCCGAATGCTTTTGCTGAAGGATATAATGTTGATGTACGAAGGGACAGAAGTCATATTCAAGGTCTGAAAAGTGAAAGAAGCCAGCTGCATGAATGTGAAATGTTTTGTCAGTGCGGGCAGGAAATTAAAAGCTTTGTTGATCTAAAAAAAACACACAAAAAAAAAACATTTTGGTCTGAAAGTTTCTGGGAAAACAATAGCACAATATTTCCTTGAATGCAGTTCTTTCTATCTATCTATCTATCTATCTATCTATCTATCTATCTATCTATCTATCTATCTATCTATCTATCTATCTATCTATCTATCTATCTATCTATCTATCTATCTATCTATCTATCTATCTATCTATCTAAATTTGCTCTACAGTGAGGCCACACCCACACTCAAACCAAACCCGTTACCATTAAATGCAAAACCATATGTGCGGCCATCATTATAGAGATGATTAATTATGTGTTGTTCTGCGTTTTTTTTTTTTTTTTTTTAAGTAATAACTCTCAGTGCCTGAACTGGATCCTGTATTTGGATCATAGTTTGCTGGCTGAGGCAAAAATCTGTAACTTTATTTCATTGCAGAAGCCAAACGATGAAGAATTTCCTAATTATAGGAACGGATGGGATTCTGTGTTGCAGAGGGAATCTACTTGAAAAGCAATTTAAGTGGCTGAAAACAATATAACAGAAAAGTTTACAAACCACGGTTAGATTTTATTCATAATATTGTAAAAGAATACATTCTTGCATTATTCAAAGAGGGCTGTATTTGTAGCTGTGACAGAATTCCTCTGACTGTATGTCAGTGTTTAGAGGGGTGTGACTGGCAGTGTGTGTGTATAAATGTCTTCAACCCTGTGAATGTGTAGTGATGCACATTTTTGTGAACATCCTCTTAAAAAGATCCGGTTAGCCCATTTCATTAGTCAGTGACTGGACAGGCCTCAGTGAGCCCATCGGGCTTTATTAGTTCATGCTGCTGTGGGTAGACACACATCACAGAACTTGCACATAAAAGCAAGTGAAGAATGTTAAGACGCCCTCAAGACAGGCAATTTCTCACTTTAATTGTTTGATTTTTGTAGCTTTTGAGTTTTAGGATAAGTCTGAAATAAGAATATAAAAGCAATAGGGTTTGGGTTCTCTGGACCCTTTGGTTCTCACAATTCAAAGCTTTGGTTGTTAAGACCTGGGGGAAATAGCAATTAATATCACTCAATATACTCAAGATAAATTACACTACTGGAAAACAAATGCTGCAACAAAACAAATGCTAAAGATATAGTCTCCACATAGAAGTACATCTCTTGTGCGTGTGTTTATATCTCAGTTAAACTCCAATTTGCTTAGGAACTAACTAACTGATGTTAGAGGGCATGAAAATCTGGAAATCTAAGAAATGTTTGGTAAAACCTGGTGCTGTTTTAGGCAGGAATACACAACAAGGTTTAAGAAGTCAGGGATTCAGACTTCAATATTTCTATATGAAAACTCAAAATGTTATTTTAGAATCAATATGAGCAGCATTAATGATTACCACCTGTATTATATGTGCCACCTGCTTTTACAGCAGCCATTTTTTATTTGTTCTTCCCAATACCTGTTGTTTTGTTTTAACTTGTGCACTACATTAGTAGATACGTATGTGACCACCTGGAAGTAACAGCTACTTTCAGTCAACCCAAGTACAGTATCTACACTGTACCTCTTCACTAAACCAACCAGAGGGTATTTCCATAAAGCTCTGTAAAGCTTTATTTAGCCTTTATCAATATTCAAAACTTTCCTCATTAAATTATCCTTAAAAGTCATTTTTGACCACTTTCGTGGCTGCAATAGGAGCTCATTTCAAAGGTATATGTAAGGTCTACAAGCAAATTTCTCTAACAACTAAAAGATAAATGTCTTCCTGTACACATGCTAAATCAAATAATTATAATGGGAGGTGATTAATTTAGCTTTCAGTCTTCTATAAATCTCAAGGTATTGGGCAGTCATGAAAATGGCCAAATCAAAGAGTTTTTAACAACTTGCTCACAGCTACTATTCTTTGCATTTGTAATATCAAAACATATTTCTAATCACAATCAACTGTTTATCTCCAACCTCTGGTGTATGTAGAAAATACATTTAAAAGGGCAGTTATTACTTTTATTACTCACCCTGTCCTCCTCCTCTCTGAGGTCAGGCATGGTGCTGATACACAAGCTAACAACAGTGACAGCAACCATGATCACTGACAAACAGGCGAAGATCTTCCCTGGTAGGCCTGACTGAGGATTCTCCACCATATCTCTCAGCCAATTCATCACTTTCCTGTACTTTGTTTCCTCCACTGGGACTCGCTGCATGGCATTTCTCTGCCTACGCTCCTCCTCCCGTCTCTCCTTCTCATGCACCTCCTCGATGCGTGTGTACATCTTTCTCTTGCAGCAGCGCTCCATGTAGGCCATCTCGACCCCCCAGTAGTTCAACTCGTCATGCAAGGACAGGACACACATCTCTCGCAGAAGCCGTAGTTTCCCTGCTGCCAAGAAGTTAAGGATGACTTTAAAGGCGGATGGAGAGCGGTCAAAGAAGAACTCCTTCCTGGCTTCATCATAGTCGTCACATACACTGGCAATTTCCTCAAGTGACCGACAGCCACAGAGGCGACCTAGTCTTGTGAGGGGGAACTGCTGGAGAGTGGTCCAGGGGAAGGTGTAACGATTTCCACCCACATTAATCACAGCCAACAAGGTATGGTCAACGGAGACAAGGTCTTCTGGCCTGCGAATAAACTGTGCCCTCTTGTAGTACACTCCCTGGAGGTAAAGAACGAGGCATTAGAATCTGACACAGAACCACACCCACCAGCTTAGTTATCAGATGCACATCAAATCCGTGTTGGACTCCACCTTAATTTTGAGTGGCATAGCTACAACAAAGTGTCAAATGCTTCTCAGAGAGTTTGGTCCAAATTGGCATTACTGCATTAGAAAGTTGCTGCAGATCAATCAGCTAACATCAAGGGTCAGAACCTCCTGCTCCATTTAAGAAACCAGTCTGAGCTTATCTGAGCTTTGTGAGATGGAGAATTATCCTGTTGGAAGACGGCAATAGAACAGGAGTCCACTCTTGTCATGAAGGGATGGACCTGATCGGTATCAACACTCAGGCAGTCTGTTAACTTTTGTTGGTACTGTGGTGATAAAGTCATACCAAGAATACCTTCTGTACACTATGATACCACCAACAGCCGGAGTCAGGGATACAAACTAGGATGAAGCCAGGCCTTCATGTTGTTTACACCTATTTCTGACCCACCATCTAAATTCTACAGTCGAAATCTGCTGCTGTAGCACATCTGCTTATGACGTTTTATGTTTTAGGGCTGTTTTTGGTAACACTCTTGTTAATAACAGAGGTATCGAGAAAAACCTGTGGGCTTTGGAGCTACTGTTCTACTGTTTTCTATCATATGCAACTGCTCTTCCCTAAGATCTACAATTTTTGTTTTTTCAGAAAACTTTTCATAAACCTAAGACCTGGTTTAGGGTTAAAATTCCAGTAGATTCCTCTTCAGAAATACCTAGCACCAAAAACCGTCATACTCTCAAAGTAACTTCTTTTTCATTATGCTGCTAAGTTTAACTTCAGCGGGGCATATTCATCACCTTCATAGTAGCAATCTAACACTTTTAATTTGTGCCGATTAGCTGTTTTGAGTAAAAGAGCATGGCAGGAGTACCTTATAATGTGCCTGATAGGTGTGTTATTCTACTTTCATTTGGGGAAGTTTTGACATTAACATACCTTGATGGTCTCAGTTTCTGGAATTTCAGTGAAGATCCGATCCAGACTGCTGTCATCGCTGACCGAAAGATTGCTGAAATCATGGTTGGTGTTGCTGATGATGGGCATGGCAGCATTTGGAAGGCTCGCTGCTCCACAGCGGGCCACTCAGAGCAGGATAAGAACAGGAGTCTTTGGAGGCCAAAGTCTTTCTACACTTCTAACCAGAAGGTTTATTTCAGCCTTCAGTGATCTTAATTAAAGATCAAAATATGTAGCCAAAAGAGAATCGGGGTAGTACTGATGTCTCTAATCAGCTAATTTCTAGGTGACTTGTATCTAATAGCTGCAACAGATGAGTCCGACGAGTCAGGAAGGCAGGCAAGTGTCCGGGTCCACTGTGTTGCCCTAACAGGATTATGAAGGGCACAAAAACATGATGGCATCATGCAGACGCTGGAAGAGGAATAAGTAGAAAGAGGTCAGAGTGGGTCCTGATTAAACAGTCATCAATAAATCCCTAACAATGACAAGCTGGAGTTTGTCAGCCATAAATAGCCTCCCATGCTGACATGAGGATACAGTAAATTCATTTAACCACAAATCAGGATCCAATGAAGACAGCCTGACTTGTTTAGTTAGAGTGGGTGATAAAGGAAAAGAACATTCAATATTGTTGTTCACACTAAGAGTAAATTAGTGGCAGCTTTCCTCCAGACAGACTCTGAATCACAGTTTAGAGGAGAATCTTACTGCCAATTTAAAAGCTCTGAAACTTATTGGCACAGTTAGATGTTTCGTTTCCCACATTACTTTGTTGTGCAAATGCACTAAACAGTTCTTGGTCACAATGTGAGTGTTATTCTGCCAATGTTCCAGTCCAACTGCCTTTAACCTTAAACCCTGTCTTTTATTCTCACATTTTGCAACTGAAGCCTAAAATCATCCATTTGAACTACAATTGATTTTGCACTCTGCGGCTATTGCACTGGGCATCAACAATTTCCAATGTGAGTAAATGTGAGGTCACCTTTAGGAAAATAAATCTTCATTTTCTTCCTCTTTGTTATAACTTGTAGTTTGTTTAGACTGAGAGAGCAGCTTGTGAATAAAATCAACATTTGACTCTGGCCTCAGCCTCTCAGTTTAAAAATTTATGCACATACACTTTTTCCTGATCTAAAAAAACAACAGTTTTCCGCCACTGTGACTCCTGCCTCACAACATTTAAGGGTCAACATCATCATCCCCTACCAGATCAGTTCCCCTACCGATCTGTGCTGCTTGGAGTCCTGCAAGTCCACTCTCTTCCTGTCCATGCTACACTGTAAACCTGAATAGCTGAATAGGTTATCAGAACTCAAAAATGTTGAAGCAATTAGTTCGCACAACGTTACTGAAGCATCCATGCAATACCTAAGTCAGATGAATTATTAATATGTTGAGGGGCATTAGAGAAACAACATGCAGCAATTACCATGCTATTTATTTCAACACACAACTCTATTTGATAGCAATCTGACAACTATAAATCTGCAATCTAGCAACATTGAACAGTCCTCATTGAATCTAGTTGCATCCTCTCTTATGGTGTGGGAGCATTAATCACACCCATTACCAATACTTTGTCAATAGGCTCTTATTACAATTTGCACAAGTACTTCCTTATTAAAGTAAATTGATAAGCTTAATTAAAACACAATTAATCACTTTGAATTTCCAGGTTTAGTCAGATATTCATATCACAGAAAACAGAACAACAAATCAGGCTTGTGTCTGTATATGCAAACAATGGTAAAATAAGGTCAGAATTCAAATCCAAATGAACTTTGCATTTATATCAAGAGAGAAGAACAAGTCTGCTGTCTCTGACCATATTAACCACAGGCATCAAATGTGTGAATGCATAGAGCAGACCAACCAACGAGGCTTCACTAACTCAGATCCTACAGGATGAGATCCTTCACTGAAGGAACCAATAAATCATGCTGCTCATATCTGGTTTCTCCCTCAAAGAAGAGAAGCTCATGATAAAGTGCATATTAATCAGTCCTTACTCTACAGACTTGAAGTTTTCTTGAGAAAAGTTCAATAAGAAAGATATTTTTAGCACGCTATTCTTAGACGCTGTTTCTACAGATAGGGACACAAAGGACAGGATTAAAGACGCTGCATCAGGATGTGTTGGAAAGAAATTTCAGGCAGAAATTAATTAACTATGTGCGTTCTTATTTAGCAAGTCACACCTTGGTCCTCCTTGTGGAGGATTACCAATAGAATAGGCAGTAACAATAACTTTGGCAAGTCACATACCTTTCAATGAATGCCAGGTAAAATAGTTTATACTTGATTTTTTTATACTTGACACACACAAAAAAAAATACTGCAACCGTTTTTGGCATTAACTTAATCATATTTGGTTACTTTAACACAAGTTTTTTTTAATTTTAACAGGGTAGGATATAAAACAATTGTGTTAAAGTAACCTAATATAATTAAATGTCAAAGGCAGTCGCATTATTTTTTTTTGTGTGTAACTGTACCATTTTCTACTAAAGATTATAACCAACTACATTTCAGTTTGAAATTGTTTCAAAGCTCAGAGGCTGAAATGCTTCCTGAAGAGATATTTGTAAGACTATTTTAATTATGTTTAAATAAGCTTTATAAATCGAGTTTATCTGTGGTGTAAAAAAATGTATGACTAACTAATGTTTAAACATTGTTTAACACTAACAATCTTTGCCTGTAAACCAACTGGTTCAAAATAGTTTAAATGGTCAGCCTTTAACTCAGCTGTACAACTAAATAAAATACTCAGTGAGAACCACTTTATGTGATGAATTGGTACAAATCGCCCTTCCTCTAAGTAATGCCAAAGCTCCATTTAAAGGTGATGCGACAGAAACGCTCTCTGCAGAGATCAGCCAGCTGGAACTTATGGAGCACAGCTTACCATTTTGTGTCCCGCACTCATCTCCTGATGTCCGAATGAAATCTGAGGGAAACCCCTGTATTGCTGCGTGATCCCACCGCAGCCTCTTCAACTCCACATCCGTCTGTCAGCCGGCAGCCTCAGGCGCCTCGTGCCATCAGGAATGAGGAGGAAATCCCTGACATCTGCATCTTCCAAGCTGAAGGGAGGTGCGCAGCCGGTCTGAACGCAGAGGTGGTAGGAAACAGGTGAGGGTCGGTGCGCTGAAAGTGTCCCGTTCCAGCCCACCCAGCGGTGCTACGGGAGGGGGGGAGGCATAAGGGAGGGGAGGGGGAGGGGGGGGGCATAGGGGAGGGGAGGGGGAGGCAGGTTGGAGCAGCTGTGCTCAACACCGGTGCCCCGAGTAGCTGTTCAAGTTTGCGTAAAGGTGATGGAAGGCGCAACGGTAACCAGAGACATCCGGAGTTCATCTGACCAAGAGGTTTAGTTAGAAGTAAAGGCGGCGAGTGTCTCCTGGGGTCTGCGGGATAAATCTGCTGATGGATGGATTCTGTGGAATTCAAGGACACAGAGGAGATGTTGCGCTCTTTGTTTATATCCCTCAAAGCATTGTGCGCAACAGGGGGCGCGGTTTCCTCTGAAAATAATGTGCAAAATGAAAAGACAAGAGGAAAAGTCTTTACAGAACACATTTTCCGTAGGGCTAAATTAGAAGATGTTATATTGGCTTATTGAATTTCGGATAATAAAAAAAAAAAACTACATAAAGAGAAATATCAATTCATTAACTAAAAATCAAATGTAAATATCCAGCATTTATGGTAATAAGGCTGAACAAGGAAATATTTGAACAGGGTTAACTTTGATAACATGGATATCAAACTGAGTGGTCAAGGTTTTAACTGACAAGATTGGCTTTGAGCAAGGAAGGAAAGGAAAGGAAAGGAAAGGAAAGGAAAGGAAAGGAAAGGAAAGGAAAGGACAGGAAAGGAGGATGGTAGTGGGTAGAGAATAAGCTCTGGAACCCAGACCTGAAAAATACGCCAACAAAATTACAGACAATTGAGGACCAATTGCATTTTATGACCATGTGATGGTTGAGGCTGTTTCATGATGGACTCTAGCAGAGGGAAAAAAGGTATAAATGATTTTAGTTTATGATGAATTCTTGTTTTGATTTGATTTGCAGGAATGTATGTAAATGAGGTGACTCTTGGGAGCCGGTTCATGCAGCCCACTCAAGCTGTGCTGCTGCTTTACACAGGATCTTCCTCGCTCTCTGCAGAATATTTCAAGCATATCCTGACAATTTAAGTGATCTATTAAAGCTACAAAACTACATTTCATACACGTCCTGCGGATGCCTCCAGCTTCTGCTTTAGACCCTCAACCAACCTACCCCCCGCTAGAAATTATATCTGTACAAAGCAAAGGAAGCTTAAAATGTGGAGTTATAGAAAGAAATATATATTTGTATCCAACTGTTTATATGAACCTTTCAGCCTTAAGACAAGTATTGGATATGTTATGTTTATTGTGCATAGTTAAAGTACTTTGAGCGTACAATTGTTGAAGTCTACCACTGTGAATAAATAAATGTGTAGTTGGAGCTAATTCATAAATAGAAATGAATTAAACTTAGTAACAGAGCAGCTTTAGGAACTTTTTCTGCAATTTAGTTAAAGGTTAAAGAAAAAAAGGACAGACGTCGTCTGCCTCTCCCCTGCTGGCTTCCTGGGTTAATCAGTTATGGGAATTATTTTCTACATAAGTCCGATATAAAATTACACAATAGTATTCAGTGTTGGTTCTCCCCTTTACTCTTGATGCACTACTGAAGAAATCTTATGTAAAAAAGCAGCATCCTGTCATTCATGTGGGATGGGCCAGATGAGTGGATACACAAATGCAAGTGAGGAAACTAATGAGAGCTAGAGATACTAAAGAACTCTGTTCAGCAGATGTATGAAGGGCACTAATGTATGTTTCATACAGAAACAGCTGGCCATACATCAGATTGCATCACAAGAAGACACACCCCAGTGTTCTAGGCTGACTTTGAAAAACCTTCACAAACATTGACAAAATTTGTCCATTAAAAACATTCAGAGGACCCTAGTCAGCAGAGTTGCAGATTTCTTTCAGCTAACCTCTCAGTTTGCCCTTGAGAAGCAGCTCATTAGGTGCTCGTGCCTTTGGGAACAACTAAAGCGAGCAAACACTTTGTCCTGCCTTCAAGGCTACAGGCAGAGCAGACAACACATTAGTGAAAGTGGAGATGGAAACTGGTAGAAATGGAAACTGAGGAGCCAGGTGGGGGGTCCCTCTGCATGTGTGAGTGTGCTTTCTCAGGAAAAAGACATTCTCCATATGGATTCCATCATTACTCATTAACCCACTGTGCAAAAGGTGTTTCCAACATGAGGTCAAACTCCTTTCATACTGAGCTGTTTGTTTTGCTAGTCGAGGAAATTTTGTTTTATAGCCTGAAATACTAGGTGCTTTGGTGATGTTTTTATTTCAAGTTTTTTTATTATTTACATTTTCTATTGTGTAATTTACATGTACCATATGAAAAGGAGAATTTGATTGTCATACATGTTATGCACGTGCAATTATTTTTGTACATTACCAACACAAAAGCACTTTAATGTGTTGCATAGCTATGGACAAATGCAAGTGAAAACACTAAGATAGCCACAGCCCAGACGGTACTGGCAAATCTTAGCCTGGCAGATTAAGAGTTTAATCCCTCACAGGCAAGAGGAGCAGAGAGGGGATCACAGCAGCTGGGCTCTTCTGGTCAGATGATGAGAAGTTTGAGGTGTGTGGAAAAGAGGAAGGGGGGGAAATGACTTACTCAGCAATCTGAAAAATCACTGAGGGAAAATTATTTCATAAATGGTCATTCCAGTTGGTCCTGCATAACTTCTATTCTGTCTAAGCTCATTATCTCTTTCTGTCAGATGATTCTTTCCTTATATATCTTTGAGAAAAACATTCCTTGCAGTGGATATTTGAATGAAGTGATGAAGCAGATTCAGATTTAAATGAGAAGGTAGAGAGGATGAGTGCTGGCGAATAGGAGATGACTAAGACTAAGGCCCAGCCCCATTTCTCTCACTTGGTTCTTAGAACACTCCAGTGAGTTCCTTCCACAGTGAAGTACACTCAATGAGGGAAGTGCAGGTGAAGATTTTCTCCCTAAGAATTGGGACACCACTTGTAAAATTACATCCCAGCCCAGTAGATGGCGATAATAAATAGCCGTTTACACTTTAGTGATGTGTTCACCTACATCATGTGTAAACACAACCTGAGTCACAACCTTCTGCATGGAAAAACTGCCATACTCATAACTTTTCCCTAAACACATGCATAATATTGAACAACAAATATATTACAAAACGTAAAAGGTCAATTTATGAGCCAGCATGGATAAATAAAGATATCACAACCATATATAGTAAATTAATAGACAATCATGGTAATATAATTAGCTTATAACTTATAATTCTAGCATGCAAGAAGCACAAAGTGTTGGGAGGTCCCAGATTTCCCCAAAGTGGGAAAATAAAGGTATTCTATTTTATTCTATTCTATTCTATTCTATTCTATTCTATTCTATTCCATGTCTTCATTTTAATTAACAGCGGAAAAAGACAATATGAGTAAAAGTACTCCTCTCTAAGGCAACTATGGCTCAGTGGGTTCATTTCGGTTGTTGTGTCCCTGAGCAGGACACTTCAACCACCTTATCTATGGCTAATAATCAGAGGGCCTAGTGGCGCCTAATTTATCTCAGCCTCACTTCTGTCAGTCTGTCCCTTGGCAGGAGTAGCTTGTAGCTTGCCACCATGGTTGGTTCTAGACAGAGGCTAACAGGGGCCAATGCGCCGCTAGATATGGTCCCCGAAGACTCAATACTAGAAACATTTTTAAATAATGATAAGCATTGGTACGGTAACTATAACTGATTGGTTCCCTGGACATGTTTTATGTTACACCTTTACACATTTTAACAATAGTTAAAAATTTAGGATGCTGCACCAGGGCAGTTGTGGGTGAGCGGTTAGGGTGTCAGACTTGGATCCCAAAGGTTACCGGTTTGACTCCCGACCCGCCAGGTTGGTGGGGGGAGTAATTAACCAGCGCTCTCCCCCATCCTCCTCCATGACTGAGGTACCCTGAGCATGGTACCGTCCCGCTCCCCATTGAGGGCTGCCCCCTTGCACGGGTGAGGCATAAATGCAATTTCATGGTGTGCAGTGTTCACTTGTGTGTGCTGTGTCACAATGACAATGGGAGTTGGAGGAGTTTCCAACTGGTTCCATTATATTCATGCAGCCAACACATTTTTTTTAATCTCTGGGAAAGAACATGGTTTTCTTTTAAGGAAATAGATAACATTTATTTGTTTCACTCAATAAGCTAACAATATCAACAAAATACATTTTCTAGCTGATGGAAAAAGTCAGAAAAAAAGGAAGAAAGTTTGTGCCAATCCTCACTTCTAGCAGTGAAATGCATGAGGGTTTCTGTTATGTTTAGCAACTCAATAAGATCAAGATCTGGGCATTGACTAGGTCAAAGACTTTTCATTTCTTAATGTCAGCCAGCATATGAGGGATCTACTGGTATATTTATGTATTGATATATACATATATTAATCATAATACTCTAGTTGTGCTCCAGCTAACTTCTTTTCAAATCGTCTCACCTTTTCCTCAAGCTTTCTATGATATATTGAAGAATGCATAGTATTTATTTATGATGGTATGCTGACCAGGTCCTGCTTCAGATCAAAAAGCATCTACAGATCATGCAGTTTCATCCACATGCCAAATACAGGTCCTCTAAATGCCGTTGCAACAGGTTACATTGACTTTCAGGCCACACTCTTGGAAGCCATATCTGAAAATAAAGGTCAGAGCATATTGTGCAAGAGCATGTAATTTTGGCTGCGAATAACTATTGATGATGATAATAATCAAAATTTATGCATCAGGAGACCACCTTATGGCTTTAGAAATTGATAGCCAAATATCTCCTAAACTTTTTAAGTTATTGTTTTAGAAATACCCTTCCTGGGGAGGTCTGATCATGCAAAACAACAGATGAGATTACCCTGAGCACATATACAGAACAAACACAAAAAAAATATTTCCATATATATACTATTTTATTTAAAACAATATGCGTTAAAGTAAAATCAGTCAAAAAACTCATAGTAAAAGAGGGAAAATACAAAGTAAATTTAAAACAATAACCAATAAACTGATGCAGTGATATCACTGTTCAGTGTGAAAGTATATGTAAAGCCACAAAGGTTTG